CCCGGGAAGAGCGCAATGATGGTGCCACCTTGGGCCGGTGAAGCAATGTCCTCCACAACTAGATTGAAGAAGAAACGACAGCAATTTGTCTGTTCCCCTTTCCCCAATTCCCCAGTGCTGTTCCAATTCCCCAATAAAAATCTTAAAAAAAAAAATAATTTACACAACAGTATAAATTGATGTTTTCTTATATTAGTATATGAAATTTTACAGTGACTATGAAATAAATCTAATTTATTGTTTTATCATTTCAAACTCTTTTTAAAAAGCCCTTCTCTTGTTTTTAGGATGTTTCAGAACATTCTAGAGTTGCTTTAGAAATTAAAATTAACCCTGCATAAAAACCTAGTGCTTTCTGAAATTATATTGCATTTAAGCATTTTTTTAATTTGAAAATCTTTTTTGAAGGTCATGTGCTATTTACTCTTTTATAGGCCAGCTTTAATGACCATAGTTGATGGAATATATAAAGTCTACATCCATGTAGGATCGAAGCTCATAGAGAAGATTCTTCTCAACATTTCTCCTGACTGGCTCAACAAAGTTATAGGTAAGCTATCAACACATTGTCGAGAGGTTATTCTTGGTGCAAGCATTCATTTTGGGAGTGTATTTTGGAACAGAAAGAACACAAGACTGTAAACTAAGGGTTTTTTTCTGTCAGTATAAAAGCAGAAGGACAATTGAGCTTGAGTGAAGCACAAGATTATGCAAGTTGGAATGTAAGACTTGCTCTACATCTGTCTCACCACATACATAGAGGGAAGCAAGCACCTAATCTCTTTAAATTCTCAATTGGTGAGCAAAAACACTAGGACTCTAGTTTTTTTAAAATAAATTTATTGGAGTGACATTGGTTAATAGCACTATATAGGTTTCAGGTGTATAATTCTATAATAACATCATCTGTATATTGCATTGTGTGCTCACCACCCAAAGGTTAGTCTCCTTCTGTCACCATATATTTAACACACTTTACTCACTTCATCGTCCCTCCATCCCCCTTCCCCACTGCTAACCGCCATACTGTTAGTACCTTAGTTTTATAATAGTTAAGTAAATCAATGTGTGACACTATAATATGAAGATAGTCTACTGTCAGTGGAGTGGATTTGCAGTAACTTCAGTTATAATGCTAAGCATAGTCAGTGGCTAACAACAAAGTGAAGATAACCCTTTGTCAGATGGTTATCTGACAAACTCCATACCTTTCCTCATTAGCATCAGACTCTCCAAGCAGATGAACTCATCTGTTTCTATTGATTCCTCTGTCTTAATAGTGGATTTTTATTTTATTGCTTTTTTGTATGTCTAGTAATTTTGGCTTGAATGCTGAACATTACATATAGAACAATACAGACTGAGGCAAACAGGTTTTTATCTGGAAATAGGCATGCCTGTTTTCCTAGACTTTTATTGGGAGCTGGGGGTGGGCAGAGCAACCCTGTCAGACGTGGAGTTGGATTCAAGTTTGTTATTGTGGTGGTTACCTTCAGGTTACCACTGGCTTCAAGTTCCTGTAGCCTTATCTTGTGCTTGTGGTAGGGAGTGGTTTGCCAGAGTCTTCTGTAAGCCTGCTCCACCATCAGCTTTAACCCTTCACTCTGCACCTGGGCCTCAGAGACAGTTTCTCTCCATATTTGTGCATCATCCCAAGCTATACAGGCTCTATTGATTGTTATTTGGTACATCCTAGCCTGGTAGGCGAAACAGGAGTGAGTCTCTTTGATTCTGGCCAGCCCCAGTCTTACATAGGTCCTGTGTCTCTGGGTCTTGGATATGGCGCTAGCGTTCGCAGTGACACTGCCCTTCTTGCCATGGCAGCCAGGCTCTGCCGTGTATCTTTGATGGGTCTTGTGTGGTCCTGCCCTACTCCCAGCAGTATGGCACCACTAATTGTCTTGACCAGGGTGATTTTTCTGCCACTCCCCCAGGGAGAGCAGGGTTTTTCTCTTACCTTTTCTCAGTCTTCAGAGAATCCTCACTTGTACCCTGGGGCAACAGGGTTTTCCATCCTTCCTCCAGCAGCTATGGCTTTTGTTCCTTAAGGGAGTGGTCCTGAGTGGTATTCTGTGTAGTTCTCAGGGGCAGCTTCTTCCCTTCTCCAGGCATTGTAGTTGGAAACTTTCTCTGATATCTTGCCCTTTGTCCAGTCTTGTGAGCACCTGGTGGAGATAAGAAGAGCTGCGAGGGTGCAAACTCCCCTTCTTGTGGTGTCGGCCCATACTTGGCTTTTAGCAATCCATTAACAATTTAAGCACATTCTTCTTTTTTGCTTGTTTGGTGGACCTATCTTCTTTTTGAGCTCTGCCCCAGGTAAACCTATGCTCCCGTTACATCTCTCTTTACATTTCAATCTTTTTAGCTGCTGTACAACCTCGGCTCTCTTATTGGTTCAAGAAAATTGTGATTTTGTAGTTTATTCAGCTTTCTCTAATAATTGTTAGGGTAGGAGCCATGCTCTTTCCAGCTTTCTACACCCTAATTGGAAGTCTCTGTGTTCTTTTTTATTCACTTTATTAATTTTCATTCTTTTGGCTTTTTTCAATGTCCTTTATTATATTTTCAGCCTTGTCTCTTCTTCTTTGTGGAATGTCAATTAGTGTTTATTTCTCAGAAGAGCATCATTCTCATATCAAGTATCTGTCTGTTTTGCCCATTCCTGAGACAATTAATGTCATATTTCTCAACATTAATTAAATTGTAACCATAAGTGAAAATGTGAGCACCAATTATAAAGTGGTCATCAGGTCACTCAGATTATCACTAATCTTGATTTTTTTTTTAGTCATCAAAGTGAAAACACAAAAATTTTAATTATTGTAGAGACTTCTCACACCTCCAAACATATGTCATTGGCCCTCCAGGAGTCTGTATACCCAATCCAAGGAAGGCTGGTGGTATTGGTCAGGGAACTAGTATAGTGTGAGCTTGGTCAATAGTGCCCTGTTAGTCTAGTATTGAGCACCCTGCTAAATTACTTGATTAGACCTCCTAAGATATAAGAGGAAGACTATAGGACAAATGCAAAATACCATGACATATCTGTCTATAACTTTAGTATTTTTATATTATCAAGATTTGATATTTATTAAGTAACTGATTCACAGTTCTGTTATATAAAAATATATGTGATATATATTATATATCACTATATATCTATATATATCCATGTGTGTATATATGTATTAATATATATTATAATATATATATACACACACACACATATACAGAGAGTGCCCAAAAATGTATACACATTTTAAGAAAGGAAAACTGTATTAAAATTGTAATACTTAATATATACTGACAACAGAAAATGAATACAAGTCATGTTTGACTTCTGCAATTACAACAGGTGCTCAGAGTGGTTACCATCAGCATAATTTTAATACAGTTTTTCCTTAAAATGTATATATATTTTTTGTCTCTCTCTCTCTCTCTCTCTCTCTCTCTCTCTCTCTCTCT